TTCAGATATGGGATGAAATCGGATAGGGATGAAATCGTTTAGAGATGAATGGGTTTAAGAGTTTTTAAGAGTTTTAAGAGTTTTAGCCAAATGCTTTATAAGATAGTATAGATATACTTTAAATTATATTTTTATATCTATTAATTGCTTATAAATACAAACCCTTTTTTTATGTAATAACTTTATAAATTACAATATTATACAGTTATAAAAAAAATGGTAAAATGTGTGAAATAACAATCTATTTTTATAAAAAAAATAACTATAGCACTGTATTTTCAGTTTTTTTTATTAAAATAATATACCTTTTAAATATTTTTTATTGGCATCGTATTTTCAGAAATTTACCTGTTATAGTATTGTATAACATTTTAAATTAAGTTTATCTATTATAGTAGGTTTCTTTGTCACCTCATCGTTCACGTAGGTTGTCCATATGTTACAAAAGATCATTATCGTATATGTAGACAACCTACGTGGACAATAACGTGACAGAAAAACCCTGATATAATAGATAAATTTAATTTAAAAGGTTTCCCAATGCTATAACGGATAAAAAATTTAAAGTACAATAAAAAATATTTTGAAAGTACATTGTTGTAATAAGAAAAATTGAAAATACAATGTTATAATAAAGAGATTTGTAAAAATATGTTACTATTTCGCGCATTTTACCCTAACCAAAATGAATTATTCAATGGTGTTTCGACACAATAAACTTTAAGTAAATTATGTCTTTTGTTATTTTGGTTTGTTAATAATTACGGGTCGTCCTTATGGTTGTGGTACATTTTTTGTTCGTATGGTTTGTAATTTCGACGAGTGGGTCTTGCAGTCAAGTTCCCTTCTGCGTTTCCACTCGAGGACCAATCTCCGTCTGGCCCGAGGAAATGTATTGTTATTTCCGTCATTAAAATTCACTATTTATTGATATTTGATCTCTGTCGTTAACAATTATTTACTGTTTTGATCCATTGTATCTAAATGTAGTATTAGTCTAGAAATAAGAATAGCAATAAATTGTAAATTATAAGGACGAAAATCAAAATTTCTAAAACACATGAACGGAAATTGAATTATTAACAAACCACGAAGACAAAAATTACAATTTACTCATTTTTTTATTTGAATTTATTTTTCGATCGTAAATTTTTGTTTCCTCGTGTTATTGTTCGTGTCGTATCTTGACAAATTTATTTCAAACATTTCATAAAAACATGAAACAAATTCGTTAAATTTGACATGGAGTTGAGTCTATACAAAAATAAAATGTGCAAAAATACAATTTTTTAATGCAAAATGAATAAAATGATTATTTCATTTAAAAAATAATAAATTTGTTAAATATTTTAATTAAAATAAATAAATAATTGTAGATACGGATAAGATTTATATCACTTCAAAGTCAAATCGACATGGATGCTTTCCTGAAATTGAATAGATGGAATTTTTTCAAATACGATTTTACTGAGAAAAGATAATTAGAGCGAGCGATTGTGAATAGAATATTCACATGTGAAATATGTAAAAAGGGGTGGCTAATAGCACCCCTATCCAGTGCTATTAGCATCCCTAATACTACTTAAATAATTATGTATTTTTTGGTTTTTAGTGTTTTCTTGTCTTTTAGTTATTATTGTTTTTTGACTTATTATTATTTTAGTTTATTTTAAAAATATATTAATTAGTATAAGTTTTTGATTTGATTTTTATTTATTTATTTATATTATATTTT